GATGAAAGGACGGACACCTGCCTCAGCATCCTGTTTCCAACAGCACCCCCCTGCTGCTACCCCTGCAAGCGAGAGAGCCGTCCTTTCGTTTCGCCAGCACTGGTGACTTCTTTCCTTTCCCCTCCCCATCCCTTTTTCCTTCTGAGTCATGTCTTTTCAGACAGCAAAACTGCAGGCGTGGGGTGTTGTCTTTCACTGGTGAAAGATGGTCCGGGAACCTTCTTGGCTAAGGGGCAGGACGAAAATAACTTCAAGATAATAAATCAAAACTTGTGGTTCCTTGAGAAACAAGACCTCACTGCTTCTATCCAGTCCTCCCTCTTCCACCGGCGGAGCCCTCTGGGGTTGTCCAGGACTTACAGCGCTCCAGCCTCAGGGCCATCCTAGGGCCGCCCGAGCCCTGCTGAATAGATTTGCCGGACACATCCAGGACGAAACCTCTTGCATGCGTCCACAAGGACTTCGGGCTCCAGTGGTCCTGCACAGGAACCGGGTGGGATATCCAGAGCACGGCCTCAGACGAGTTCCAGCTAGCACAGCCGGGGATGTCGGCACGGAGGTCCCTGCGACCACGTCCGTATGGGAGGGATCCTTGCCCCTTGCGGATATTACAAGCTAGCAGGGAGGGAGCAGCTGGCTGGGACAGGGACAGTCCTCGAGAGGGAGTGGCCCCGTGCCAACTGAAGCTGGTGGCAGGGAGGCCACTCTTAAAGACACCTGCTCTGGTCTGAAGAGCTTCGTGATGTCAGGCCAGTAGCAAACATCCCCTTCCCGAACAAGGTCCCAGAGTGGGTGGGGGCCAGGCTGATCATCTGCATCTCTTCCAGGGTTCAGGTCTGGCTTGGCACAGAAGCAGCCTATGACCTGGGTCAGAAGAGAGATGGCGGAGTGGGGCCCTGTTGGTCCGTCTACGTCTCTCAGCGACTGCCAGGACCACTGACCACGATATTCTTCGAGGGGCTGGCGGAGTTGGGAGGGGAACAGATTGCAGTGGTTCTGCTCCTACTCGGATGGCCGGCTAGAGGGATAGCGCTCAGCCAGCACAGGGTCCTTCAGAGGTCTGTCTCACGCCCCTGCCGTTTAACAGCTGCCGAGAGGAGTCACCCGGGGTTTTGGAGTGCGCTGGCATCGGTACACTTACGGCACATACGCTGCCTCTTCCGTATGTTTTCAACAGGTGAGGCTGCAGCGGTGCTGCACGGTGCTTGGCCGTGGCAAGGGACTGCATGAGGGCTCACAAACTGAAGCTCAGTCCAGGCAAACTGAGATGCTGTTGGCCAGTGGTTCTTCTGACTGGATGGAGGAAACTCCACCTGTTTTGGATGGGGTCAAGCTCCCTCTACAGGGGCAGATGCATAGCATGGGATGCCCCTTCGATCACCTGCGTCACCTGAGGCCCAGGTGAGGTCAGTGGCATGAAGTGATTTCTACTAGCTGGTGATCCAACCATTCCCTATCTGGACAGAGATACCCTGGCTTCAGTAATCTACCTTCTGGTAATCTCTAAACTCGACTACTGAAATGTACTCTGCATGGGGCTGCCCTTGAAGACTGTTCAGAAACTGCAACCCGTGCAAAAGGCAGCAGCCCAATCAGTCATGGAGACCGGAAGGTCCAGGTACGTAACACCAATTCCAGACCACTTGCTTTGGCTGCCTATATGCATCTGCACCTACGTGACTCAAGGTGCTGGTTTTAACCTACAGGACCCACATAAGACTGGACCCACAGTATCTGACAGAGTGCCTCGCCCAAACTCGAACTGCCCACACACCGCAAACAAGCACTGGGGCCTGCCTCCTACTGCCGCCTCCAAGGAAGGCTCAGCTGGTGGCGAGGCGGAGAAAGGTCTTCCCTGTGGTGGCCGTCCAGTTATGGAACACATTCCTCACTGCCACCTGCTCAGCACCAGGTTACGGCTGGGCTCACGGACAGAGCCTTTAATTGGCTTCACAGTATACTGGGGTATTGCCAACTGCTTAAAGCCATTTCGACATAAATTGAGAAAGCTACTGTAGCTTTCTCAAACGTGGTTTAAATATGGTTATTACATTTTGCATTGTATTGTATGATGTCATACTGTACTGTATTTCAATTATATCCTTATGTCTGTTGGGAACCTCCCGGAGGGCTTTGGCTATCGGGTGGGACAAAACCTTGCCGTTGTTGCTCACCATGTCTAGTAACTAAGGGCGCCAAAGAGCCCCTCAAGGGCCCCTCAAGCATGACAGCATCCCCCCGCCCAAGTTCCCCAGCACCTGACAGACCCAGACACCGGCTGCTGGTAGCCCTGCCCTCCATGAGCGCACAGAATCCTCATTCAAGGCATTCAGGTTAGCGGCCACTGGCCATCAATGAATCAGCCACGGGTTGGTCTTGACTCTACTGCCCATTCCACTGGTCGTCCCCGAGTCCCAGTCTTTCCCCATGCCCACCACTGCCAGCAGCTCTTCCAGGGGGTGGGGGGAGTTCTGAAAGGCAGGAGGAAAGGGAAGCTATCCATTGCTCCTGAAAATCATTACAACATGTAAAAAAAGTGATCCATTTCCTTAAATTAATGCAGCTTGCCACAGAATGAAAGGCCCAGTGGCTGAGCCAGAAGAAAGCATTTCTAGCAGTTCCTCATGGACCCTGAGCAACTGCTGAAACCACAAAGCTACAGATATTCGTGTGCCACAGAGAGTCAGGGATGCAACTTCTGTCGGTGGCCTGATTCAGGTGTAATGACAAATCAGAGCATGGTGGTTGTGGGAATGACAGGGTATCCCCCATCCTGCCATTCCCCACTCTTGGGTGTTTCCTTCTTTTCCTTTTTCTTGTCCAAGAACAGGATGCTGTGGCTTGTGCAAATCAAACCTCCCAGGATAACAAACCAAGCTGATATTGTCAAATAACACATTAAATTTGGTTTATTCCAAATCACAATCAGATCCTTTACATCCCTTCCCCTCCCAGACAAGCGAGGAAAGGGAACGGAGTCCACGGGCTCACACTCCACTGTCGCATGTTCCCATCACCACTGTGATGAGCCTGGACACAGTCTCTGTCTGAATTGCCAAGCCGCATGCATGCGTAATCACAGGCAGCTTTGCTTTCACCTTGACTGCCCTGTCACGTGTTCTGTACTAGAGAACCAATCTTAAATCACGCTAGGCCCCGCTATTCTTTCCAGCTAAACAAGCAAAATGTCAGGTGGAGAAGCAAAAGCATGCAGATTTGCCAAGCTGTGCCACAGAGAAGATAAGAATAGCAAGAAAGATGGCGGGAGAAACATTTGGATGGGGCTTCCCTGGAAGGGAGTTATAATGTGAACACAGCAGCAGGCATACTGGCAGACACTGTGATCAGAGTGTCAATTTGGAAAACAAGTCTTTTCACCACTCACGCCTTAATTGTCATTCAGCAAACTAATTTCTCAAATTTAGACGATTAAGATCCTTTAGTTATACAGCAGTGATGGCAACACTTTTAGAGACCAAGTGTCCAAACTGCAACCCAAACCCCACTTATTTATCGCAAAGTGCCAACAATGAAATAAAACCTGAAACTGCCTGTTCAAACAAATATAAATATATCCTTGGCAGCACACTGACCAGCCACGCAAAAGCTCAGACGAGTCGCAGCCAATGTGTCGTGGCTTGTGACATCATCGCCTGGCACCACAACTCCTTTCCGAGCATGCGCATGGCCCCTGTGTGCGCTGTTATCCAGTGCTTGGCTGCTGGGGTGGCTTGGCTTGCATGCCAACAGAGGGCTCTGCATGCCCGCTGTGCCACGCGTGCCATAGGTTCGCCACCACTGTTAAAGAGCTTCTCTTTAAGTCAGGCATAAGCAACCGGTGTCCTCCAGATGCCTGGACTACGGCACCCATAATCCCTGACCACTGGTCATATTATCTGGAGCTCATGGAAACTGTACTCCAAAAGATCTAGAGGGCCCAGAGTGCCTGACCCTCTTTAATTCCAGAGTTGTGTGAAAAATAGGGACCCTACATAGCCACCACCTGCACTGGCTTCGTTTAGAGAACCCATTTTATGGCCACGGCACACCACAGTCCCCCACAGGGAGAGGCAAGGAATGCTCGGCACCCTTCCCTCCCGCACCAACATGACAAAGAAAGAGCACTTCTGTGCCCCGCATTCCCAGTGGAGAGTGTCCAGAGGGGCTCCACACCGCTCCGGCCAACGGGGCCGCCCCTCTTCCCTGTCCCCTCGTGCAGCGCCTTCCCCCACAATCTCTACCCCATCACCACAACGCCAGCTCACGCCGGGGCGCCAGGCCACGCCAGTCCAGACGGGGACCCAGACCCAGGGGCCCGCTCCCCGGCCCCGCCTGTGCTGCAAGAGCGGGGAGCACCAGCCGCCACCTCTCGCAGGCCCCGACAGCCCGGGGGGCGGCCTGCACCCACGTGCCCCCCAGCTCCCGCTCCATCCGGAGCCCCGGAAGCACGCAGCCCCTCGCCGCAGCGCCCGGGCAGCCGCTCCCGCTAACCCGCTGCCCGCCGTCCTGCGCTCAGCACGGGGACCTGCGGGGCCGCTCTGCCCGGGGGGGCGGCCCAGGCCGCGCCCTTGAGCAGCCCGGCGGCGCCCCCGCCCCAGCCTTCCGCAACCGGGCGCCGTCCAGGGGCGGGAGACTGCAGCTCCCATGCTCCCCGGCCAGGCCGGGCCAGGGAAGGCTGCAGCTGCCCGGGGCGGGCGGGAGGCCCCCGCCGGACTCGCTGCCCCCCGCCTCCGACGGGGGCGCCCCGAAGCCCCCAGGCCGCCGCCCCGAGGCCGCCCAACGACGGCCGCGCGGGCCGGGGCGAGGGGCCGCGGTCCGACACCGCCGGGGAGCGCCAGGCGCGGGGACGGCGCCCCTTCCCCGGGGGCAGCCCTCGCTCCGCGCCCGCACGGCGAGACCCCGCGGCCAGGTCCCGCGGCACACCTCGCGGCCCGACGGCCGGGTCCGCCGCCCGGGGCCTCTCGGGGCCCGGCCCGCCGCCCGCCCGCCCGGTCACTCACGCGCTCGTCCCCACCGCGCTCCCGAGCGGCCTTCCCGCGGGCCTCGCGTTCCCACCCGGCCCAGCGTCGCCGCCATGGCAACCAGCCACGCTTCCGGCCCAGGACGGAAGTGAGCGGCTCCGCCTCGCCGCCATGCTGAGAGAGGCGCCCCTTCCCCGCCCCAGAGGACAGGGACGGCAGCCTCTGCAGGGGTCCCGGGCGGGCCTCCCTCAGCACCGAAATGTATTTTTAGAGCAGGCGGGGCTTCTGCAGCCTGACGGATTCACTCCATAACTCTAGGATTCATGAAGTGTTCTTTAAGGGAAGTCTCTGGGCATGCGCAGAATGCACTGCAAGCGGCATTCAGCCTGCCTGGACAGGGAGCCCAGAGCAGCGGAGTGTCAGCCCTTCTGAGGTGTCTTCCCCACAAGGATCAGGGGGCGGGGGGGGGATATTGGGCTTTGGCCCCCTCCTTCGAGCAAGGCAGCTGAACAAAACCCTGGGCTGGCTGAGAGCAGCTTACCTACTGCTCGCTCCTACGGGCAGGACTGTGGAGACCGCCTCTTGGGGGCTTTCTCCACCCCCGCCCTGGAGTGCCTGCAGAGGGATCGTGCTCTGGCGTCTCCCCAGCCTTGCTTATATCCCGCCTTCCACAGCTGGCTGCATCCTTAAGCGCCCGTGTCCTGCACGTTCTTGCTTTTTGTTGTTGTTGTTAGTCGCGAAGTCGTGTCTGACCCATCGCGACCCCCTGGACAACACTCCTCCAGGCCTTCCTGTCCTCCACCATCCCTCGCAGTCCACCCAAGCCCACACCCACCTCCCCAGGGACCCCATCCAGCCACCTCATCCTCTGCCAGCCCCTTCTTTTGCCATCTATTGTTCCCAGCATCAGGCTCTTCTCCAGGGAGTCCTTCCTTCTCATTAGGTGGCCAAAGGATTTGAGTTTCATCTTCAGGATCTGGCCTTCTAAAGAGCAGTCAGGGTTGATCTCCTCTAGGACTGACCAGTTTGATCGCCTTGCGGTCCAAGGGACTCGCAGGAGTCTCCTCCAGCACCACAATTCAAAGGCCTCAATCC